GGTCCTTTTGTCCCTCTCACCTGGTCCTCCTGTCCTCAGGTGAACACCTTTGGGGCCAACAACCCTCTGACTAACCTGATCCCCAGTCTGCAGGACGTGGACCCCGACGACGCCTTCTCCTCAGTCCCGTATGAGAAGGGCTTCGCTCTGCTGTACCACCTGGAGGAGCTGCTGGGGGGTCCAGGTAACACCTGTCCCTCAGGTGTGGACTCCAGGCCCACGTCTGAGACTTCACTTATACTTTAAAGATCGACTCCAGACCTGACTCAGGTCCCACCAGTCCTGACACACCTGGTTCTGGACCCTGTACTGTACTGACACACCTGGTTCTGGACCCTGTACTGTACTGACACACCTGTCTGTCTCTTTCAGAGGTCTTCATGGGTTTTGTGAAGTCCTACATCCAGCTGTTTGCCTACAGCAGCGTCACCACCGAGGACTGGAAGACCTACCTGTTCACCTACTTTAAACACAAGGTGAGGACCACCTGSACTCTCAGGTGAGGACCACCTGGACTCTCAGKTGGGGTCAGAGGTTCTTCTGGACCACCAGGTGTTGGACTCATCAGAACTGTTGTAAGGTGAGAACCAGGAACTAAGCTGTTGTCTCTCAGGTGGACGTCCTGAACCAGGTGGACTGGAACGCCTGGATGTTCACTCCTGGGATGCCACCTGTCAAACCTCAGTAAGTGGACCTGGTCAGACCTGGTGCTGGTCTCAGTGTAATGTGGGTCTGGTTCTGACAGGTGGATGTGTTGCAGGTACGACACGACGCTGGCTGATGCCTGCATCGCTCTGAGCCAGAGGTGGATCAAGGTGAGACCCACACCTGGTCCTGATCTGCTCCGCTTGGTTTCAGGGGTTTTTAGACTCAAACATGTGTCCCCCTTCAGGCCAAAGACCAGGACCTGARCAGCTTCACGGAGTCAGACCTGAAGACCCTGTCGTCCCACCAGGTCATCGAGTTCCTGTCCCTGCTGCTTCATCAGGTAAGACCAGAACCACCTCAGTCCACTTTGTCCCACTGATGTTTGACCCACCTGTCCTTCAGGATCCGCTCCCCCTGACCCACGTGAAGAAGATGCAGGAGGTCTACAATCTGAACACCTGCACCAACTCCGAGATCCGCTTCAGGTGAGTCTGTCTGCAGCCAAGCTCCTCCCCTTCATGGTGAAGCCTCTGCTCATTGGCTGCTCTCCTCTCAGGTGGCTGAAGCTGTGTGTCCGCTCTAAGTGGGAGGAGTCAGTTCCTCTGGCGCTGAAGATGGCCACCGAGCAGGGCCGGATGAAGTTCACCCGCCCGCTCTTCAGGTACCAGACCTTAGTCCGRCCCCGCACACCAGACCTTAGTCCGGCCCCGCACACCAGACCTTAGTCCAGGCTCGCACACCAGACCTTAGTCCGGCCCCGCACACCAGACCTTAGTCCGGCCCCGCACACCAGACCTTAGTCCAGGCTCGCACACCAGACCTTAGTCCGGCCCCGCACACCAGACCTTAGTCCGGCCCCGCACACCAGACCTTAGTCCGGCCCCGCACACCAGACCTTAGTCCGGCCCCGCACACCAGACGATAGTCCCGCCTCACAG